GTTTTGGGGTACCCTTTCACCAGTTAAAGGGTACTTGAGTTGTCTCCAGGTTGGGCTGCATTGGATCAGGCTGCCGTGGCCACAGCTTTGCATGTAGGTCATCGTGTGGATATATGTGTTCGTGCTTCCTGCTTTGTTTTTCCCCTGAGTGAACCCCCAGGAGTGGAGTTGCAGGGTCAGGGGGTAGTTGTTTCTAGGAAAGTGCCAAAATATATTCTTCTCCTGGACCGCACTACTTTGAGTCCCACCAGCAATGCTGGAGGGCTGAGAACATGGGTCCCTTTGGGTGTTCCAGTGGCAGGCGCTTGTGGAGTGTGCGGGGGTGGGGGTGGGGGCACGAGACCGGAATAATGCCCGTGCCCCGCGGGGCTCCTCGTGAGCTGCGTTTAGGCGACCTGTGGATGTCTTTGATGTATGGGTTTCACATTTTATTCGTCCTGTGTATTCTGTCCTTGTCAAAATATAACTTTATCCACATGCATTTCGTCGTTGTAGGGAATCTATGCAGCCAAGCCCCCTGGTTGAGGTTCTGCACCTCCAGTTCAGGGGCGTGATGTCATTCTTCAGGGGTGCAACTACTCTCCCCCTCCTGTTCTGAGTCCCCCCTTCATTAACATCAATGCAGCACTCCCCACGGCATTACTGGCTGTATTTGAATGTGTGTCATAAATCATTGCCCAAGCCCGTAATTATGCTCGATAGGCATGACCCAGGCGGGAAGTAGGCTGCTGTAAATTGGGCTCCTCCATTCCCCTCCTGCTGGCTGTGTGACCTTGAGCACGTCACTTCATCCTGGAGCCAGGTGGCTCAGATTCCTCCTGGGCGAACTGGACCGAGCATTTTTCCCCTCTCTGCAAAGATAAAATCTGAAAGCGTGTGCAAAACAGTTCCGAGCCTGGCAGGTGGGAGCGTGTGAGGCACACAGAGTTACAGTGATGCATTCAATGGTGCACGCGTGCTGGGTGTGGTTAGTGTGTTCCGTTCTGTGCATCCATAGGTGTACCTGCATCCCCAGGTATGCGTGCTGCATGGGTGTGATTCTTTGGGTCTGGCCCACGTGATTACCTTTCTGGGCTCACAGGTGTGTGTCACCATGCATATGTCTTTGCAAGACCATAAGTCTGGGTGCATCTTGTCCCTCCAGGGGCCAGAGGCCATAGCTCTGCCCCCCTTCTCCATCTTCTCTGCTACCAGCCAGGGTGACTGGACCTGTACCACCCGTTTTCCCCCACCCACCAACTAACCCTCGAATTGGCAGAGGATCTGCACTTCTGGGAAGGGCCGGGCTCAGAGCTTAGGCCCGGGTGTGTGGCCCTTCTGGGGCTGTATTGGTCCAGAGGCCCCGTGGGCCTTTGCTGAGGGCTCCCTTAGCCTAATGGGGACTCCAGTGGAAGAGGCCTTGCCGTGGGTCCTTGGATTCTGGGTGGGTGCTGCAGAAGCGGGTCCCTAGAAGAGGGGCTGCCATCAGCTGCCAGGGCCTGCAGGTGTGTAAAAATCTGCTTCATCAAAGTGTAATAGATGGACCCTAGAGTGCATGTATTTAAAGTGTAGAATTTGATGAGTTTTGTCACCGTGCAGATTCCCAGGAAACCACCACGATAATCACCAAGGTCACGAACATTCCCTCCTGTCCCTTTGTAATTCCTCCTCCTCTGAGCCACCCCTCCCCCCCACCCCAGCTTCAGACAACTACCTACCTGTTTTTTATCACTACAGCTTAGTGTGCAACTTCCAGGATTTGAGACAATGGGGACAGGGTGGCAAGGCGAGGAAGGGGCTTTGGAGAGAATAGCGAGCTGGTCCCCAGGTTCTTATTCCCCCTCTCCCTTCTTTCCCTCGGCACAGTTACGTTGGAACTCCCCCTTGTTAGGCGCATGCTGAGTAGGAGTCCACTGTATCCCTGACCCCTTCTTGGGCATCCATCCATCCATCCAGCAGGTATCTTTTCTTTGTGCTTTCCTTTCTACCCCTGGGTATATCTGACCATGGAATCCGGCTTCTCCCCAAGCAGCTGTTTTGGGGAAAGCCCAAGTCAAACTGTCCGAACCGGGTGCCTTTTCTAGACATGGCTCCCATAGCCAAGTGCCCTTTGCCCCAAAGGTCCCCCTCCCTGGAGTGACCTCCACTGCCCGTGGCCCATCTGCTCCTTCCAGGCTGGGTGTCTTCTGAGCAAGGCGCTTGGGTGCTGGACACGGTGCTGGCAGTTCCAGCCTGGCTCTCTTGGTGGGACCAGGGTGGGCAGCTTGTCATGCCACATCCACCCAGTGGCCCCGCTGCTCCAGAGAGGCCTGGATGTCTTCAGGCAGGTGTCCTGCTGGCCCTGGGCTGTGGAGAGGGGTCTGGAACCCTCCTGGGAAGGAGGAAGCCAGCATGCAAAATAATGCAAAGGAATGCAAACCCAGCCTGGACTGTGCTCTGGGCGGGGCCCATTCCTAGGCTCCTCCCTCCCTTCTCTTCCCCATCTTCTTCCCAGAAACTACCGCGCCCCACTTGCTCGCTTGCTCACTTGCTCGCTCAGGGAGTTGAAGGCCTCTGGGCAGGCCCGTCTACCAAACAGCAGGAGTCCATCCCTGCCCTGCAGGGACCAAAGTTGAGACATCCCAGACACTGCCTGCCACCTTCTGAGGTTTTGTACCCCCTCCCTTCCCCACCCGTGTCCTGCCAGCTCATCCATGGTCTCTCTTCCCTCAAAGTGGCAGGATGGTTGGGGGCTTCCTTTCCCAGCAGACCCGGGGGAAGAAGCAAACAACCCCCCACCTGGACCCTCAGCTCCCCCGAGACGGTTTGAATGATGCCAGTTGGGCTGACACACAAGAGAGTGACAGGTTAGAGGTCTCCCATTGTCCCAGAGGGGAAATGACATTCCCAAGGTCACACAGCCAGTCGGGGACAGAAGCAGGGCCAATGTTCTGGCTGCCAAGTGCCTGCATCTGTAAGGCACCTTCTCCTGCACCCAGACCTGCTTGCTATCCCGCTTTGGGATGAGGCAGAGATGTCGGGGTGGGGGGTCCCGGGGTATTGCACTTGGCTGCCAACCCAGAGACCGAGAGAGACCTGGTGATCGCTTTCCTAAAAAAAAAAAATCAGCCATTGGAATCCCTCTGAGGACAGTCATGAGTTCGAACTGACTGCACGCCAGCGGGCAGAGCTGTCTGCCGAGAGAGCGCCGTGTCTCTCTGGCCAGGAGTCCTTGAAGAGAGAGCAGAGGAGCCAGGTAGGAAGACAGAGTGAAGCCAGCCCACCTGTGTCCAAGCGGGTGCGGGCACGGGCAGTGTGGGGCAGGGAGGAAGCCTGGCAGTGGAGGAGGGAGGGCGTGATCCTGGGCTTGAAACTGCTGCCCCCTCCTGCCCCCCACCAACGTCCTGGTCTCCAAGGTCACGTGTCCAGTGCAGGGCAGCCTTGCTCATCCTCCTCCAGGAAGCTTTCCAGAGGAGCCGGCTGGTGATAGTCCCCTTGGCGCTTGTCACTGTCGGCCTCTTCTTTCAAACTGTCTTTTACTGAGTTTGGGGGGCGGGGGGCACTTGAGGTTCCCACACAACTACAGCTACATTGCTACAGCGCCGCTGGGCGCCGTGGGCGACGTGCAACATGTGCTTGCGATGGCTCCCGACATGCAACATGTGCTTGCGATGGCTCCCGTTCCACCGCGGTGGTTATGCTCTTTTGAAATCACTGCCTGCCTTTGCGAAGGGCGATGCCCCGGGCCTGTCTGTCTTCCTGGACTGTTGGCATCTTGAGAACAGGCTCCTATGTGTTCCGTGCCCGCATCGCCGGCGCCGAGGAGAGGCCGGGTACTCAGCAGTTATGCAGTACATACGGGTCGAGTCAAACCAGTGAATAACGAAGGGAGAGTAGGCGCGAGTGCCGGCGAAGGGTGGTGGGCAGTGGTGGAAAGGGTGATGCATTAATTAGGCTGGTGGAGGGTGGCTGCTGGCGAAAGATCATGGTAGAAGGTGGCACCACGGTGGGTGGTGGTGACTGATGGGTCATGATAGATGGTGGCAGTGGGTGACAGGTGATGACAGACGGAGGTTCTGGGAGGAGGTAGGCTAAAAAACAGAACAAACACATCTCTACATATGTTGACATTCAGCGCTGTCAGAGGCTCCAATAAAATGAAATAACAATAAAGCAAAACTAACCTCACTGCCGGCGAGTCAATTCTGATGCATGACAAAGTGGATGAAGTGTTGGGTTGTGAGCGGCAGGGTCAACGGTTTGAACCCACCAGTCGCTGCAAGGGAGAGAGATGAGGCTGTTGGCTTCCACAAAGCTGTACAGCCCAGGGAACCCGAAGGGACAGTGCACTCCATCCTGCAGAGCCTCTGAGTGTGGCAGGTCACGATGGCAATAAATGAAGATGTTGGGTGGTGATGGGTACAGAGCTGAGCATTCAATCGCTAGGAGTCTATACCGATTGCGGTGACCCTATGAGACAGGTTAGAATGACCCCCTTTGAGTTTCTGAGACCCCCGAGGCTGGTGGTTTTGCAGATTTCAGGCTAGCATGTAACCGCCGTGCCACCTGGGCTCCTGTGACAGGTGCACATGGTAGAGCATGATAAGTGGTGGGGCATAGCCTGGTCTGCTAGCAGAAGGGCAGTGGTACAAGGTGGCAGAGGTCCTGAGGGCACTGATGGTCCTGTGAGAGCAGTGGGGCAGCTTTGGTTTATGCCTTTGCCCTCTGCCCTTCCTCAGGGGACCCGGGCCCGGCTCTCAGAAAGACCCAGTTCTCTGACCCATGCGGCTTTTTCCTTTGCAGACCCTATCGGGGGCCCTTTCCCCGTCACCTCCCACCGATGCCACCACAAGCAGAAGCACTGCGTGCCGGCGCTGTCCAGCGGGGGGCTCCCGACCACCCCACTGCTCTTCCACCCCCACACCAAGGGCTCGCAGATCCTCATGGACCTCAGCCACAAGGCCGTCAAGAGGCAGGCCAGCTTCTGCAATGCCATCACCTTCAGTAACCGCCCTGTCCTCATCTATGAGCAAGTCCGGCTGAAGGTGGGGCTCCTCCCTGCTGCCCCTCGCTGCCTCCCCACTGGGCCTCTCAGCCTCTCCCTCGCAGCCACTGGCAGCCCTGGGCCCGGCCGGTGCCCTCCTCTCCCCAGCCCCACCCCCTTCTTTTTCTTTCCCGTTTCTTACCTCTTTCTTCTCCTTTCTCAACCTTCCCAACGAGGACCTCGGGGAGTAGAGTGGCCGTGGGACCCACTGGCTCGAGCCAGCCTGCTGGGAAGTCTCCCTGGGGGGTGCAGAGGCTGGGCGCGGGGCGTCTGAGCCAGCCTTCTGTCCGCCCAGATCCTCAAGAAGCAGTGCTGCTGGAGCGGGGCCCTGCGCCTGGGCTTCACCAGCAAGGACCCGTCCCGCATCCACCCGGACTCGCTGCCCAAGTATGCCTGCCCAGACCTGGTGTCCCAGAGCGGCTTCTGGGCCAAGGCGCTGCCCGAGGAGTTTGCCAACGAAGGCAACATCATTGCCTTCTGGGTGGACAAGAAGGGCCGTGTCTTCTACCGCATCAATGACTCCGCTGGCATGCTGTTCTTCAGCGGGGTCCGCACAGCCGACCCGCTCTGGGCCCTGGTGGATGTCTACGGCCTCACGCGGGGCGTCCAGCTGCTCGGTGAGTGCCACCCCTCCGCTGCCATGCTCGGTTCCGTCAGGTGTGGGCGGTAGGGGGAGTTTGGGGTGGGGGGCAGCAGCCACATGGGCACTAAGGCCTTTGTGTGCACTGCTGCGGGGCGGGGTGGGGGGGGCACCCATCCCCAAGCTCACAGCTCTGACTCGTCGTGTCCCCTTGAGACTGTGCCGTGCCATGTACAACCCCCACGGCCGTAATAGGCAGCCTCGAGGACCGCCCCTCAGGAGGTGAAGAATGCTTTCCATCATACTTCAGTGCCTGCTTTCATAGCAGCCTGGTGCCACTGCAGGGGGAGACACAGTGCGGGGAGCCCCCACCCTGGTGCTTTTTGTAGGGATGTGGGGTGCAGGGGATGGGAGGGAGAGCAGAAATCAGTGGGGCTGGGTGGGTGAAGGGGCTTCAGAACCTGGGGGCTGCGCCTCAGTTCCCAGCATAAGGCTGTTCGTTGCAGGGAAGTGAGAGGGCCCTCGGGTGGGGAGGGGGAGCGAGATGAGGAGCAGGAGAAGGCACCAGGCTTCTCCATGGGCGGGGGGAGGGGGCAGGAAGGGGAGATGGCATGCATGAGACCTTAACATGCCAGGGCTGGCAGAGGGGCTGGAATTGCTGGGGGACACACAGGGAGTTGGTGGCTAAGTTAGGACTAGCACGTGGGTCCCTTGACTTCCAGCCCAAGGTCCTTCTCGCCTGGTGCCCTTGTGCATGTGAGCAAGTGTGCGTGCATGTGTGTGTGTGAGAGAGTGTCTGTGCACGCGCGCGCACACCCACAGACTCTGGGTTTACACCGACCCCTTGGTAAATGGGTCATGCCGAGGCCCAGCTGCCCGAGCCTCAGCTTCTTCATCTGTAAAGTGGGTTGTTGAGAAGATTGAATGTGGTGAGTAAAGTGCCCAGCTGAGCCCCGGGTACCAAGCAGATGCTCAACCAACACACATCCTTCCCACTGCCCATCCCTGCCCCTCTCCGGGCCATGGAGGCGGCTAAAACCCACTTTCTCTTTAGATCCCAGATGCAGTGAAGCTCTTCGGTCCACAGTTCCTTTATTTATTTATTTTTTTGAGCACTTTTATTGGGGGCTCATATAGCTCATCACAATCCATACTTCCATTGTGTCAAGCACATTTGTACATTTGTTGCCATCATCATTCTCAAAACATTTGCTTTCTACTTGAACCCTCGGTATCAGCTCCTCATTTTTTCTCCTCCCTCATGAACCCTTGATAATTTATAAATTATTATTATTTTTTTCATGTCTTACACTGACCGATGCCTCCCTTCACCTACTTTTTTGTTGCCGGTCCCCCTGGGAGGGGATTATATGTAGATCATTGTGATCGGTTCCTCCTTTCTCCCCCCACCTTCCCTTTCCCCTCCTGGTATGGCTACTCTCATGATTGGTCCCGAGGGGTTCATCTGTTCTGGGTTCCCTGTGGCTCCAGCTCTGTGTGAGGGAGCCCTTTTTTATCCCTGTAGTGGTCACCAGTTGGGCTGCTAACCTCAAGGCCAGTGGTTCTAAACCACCAGCGAGTCTGTAGCAGAAGAAAGACGGGGTTTTCTACTCCCGTACAGATGAACAGTCTCGGACACTCAACAGGGCAGGTCTGCCCTGTCCTACTGGGCTGCTCTGCGTCGGAATCCAGTCGACTGCAGTGAGTGGCTATTTGAGTCCTTTTCCGCAGCATTTCTCTGGTGCCTTCCAAACACCAGGAAACTGTTTTCTTGACCCAATAGTTTGGGGAGCGAAGCATTTCTATATCCATACCACTATGGCAGGAGTCCCGGGCTAGCCTGTGACCCATTCTCAGCTCCTGAAGAAGGCAGACCAGCTGAGGCATGAAGTGGGGGCTCCTGCAGGACCTCTACCTGTCAGAGGTTTAAAGGGTTGTGCACCTGGGCTACACGGACTATCTGTGGGGTTTCTGGCTCCTCAACGGTCAGATGGAGGGGATGCTTAACCCGCAGGGTCCTTGTGAGGGGTCCTATGAAACAGTTGACACCCAGGAAGCCAATGGCGGTCAGCCCCCTCCCCTCCTCCAGAAAGCGGCCAAGCTTCCTCTCAAGTTCCGCCCACACCTCCTCCTGCCCAGGGTCCCTCAGCGCTTGACATTTGAATGGACGCTTGAGTCGGCCTCTCCAGACTGGAGTTGGAGCCCCCTCCCGCATGGCCGCCTCTGTCTGAGCCTTGAGTTTCTCGTCTGCGACCCGGCTGTGAGGAGGACGTCACAGCCAGTGGGGTTGAAGAAAGCAAAGGCCATGCATGTGCTTGCTCTTCCCTAAACCAGGAGTGCCCTTCTCCACGGTCCCCATTGCTGGCTCTCAGACCATACTCAAAAGCCACCTCCTCCCTGAAGCCTTCCTGGCAGCACCCTGTTCTCTGTCGTTGGGGCCCAGTGCATGGCACGGGCACTCTCTCAACGCCAAGGGATTGGCTGCACTGTCCAAGGCTGGCCTGTGGAGGAGCCTCGGTGGCATCTTGGGGTGGAGAGGAGGGCAGTATCGGGATGCATGACCTGGTGCAGGAAGGAAAGTGTGAGTGGGCAGGGCCTGGAGGTAGACCCTGTCCCGCCCCCAGGCTGCCCCAGGCTCCCTGGGAAAGTGGGGACCCGGAGGCCGACACCACCAGTGTCACTCAGGAGAAGGCTGAATTGCTGAAGGGCCAGGATTCTGCCACGCACCGGGGATGGTTTCCATCCAGTTTCTACCATTTCACCTTCCGGCCGCCTGCCCTGGGCGGAGCGAGTTTTATCCCCATTTGGCAAGGAGAAAGCTGAGGCCCATGGCCTACCTGGCTTGCCCTTGTCGGTCTGTGGTGGAACGGGGACTCACAGGGCCACAGCAGTGCTTTTCCTGTAGCCGTGCTGGCATCCAGAGAGTCAGGCAGCCAGCAAGCCTTCTCAGACGAGGGCCTCCACTGAGCCCACACACCTTAGGAGGGGGGGTCTGGGGGGGAAGGGGGGATGAAGGGGATTGTTCTAGGTGAGAGGAGGCTTCTGATCCTCAGGGGACTGCAGGGTCCCCTGAAGGGGGCGTCCGGAGCCCAGGAGCCTGCCCTGGCCTGGCTCCAGTTCCCTGTCTGACTATAAATGGATTTTCCTACAGTATTTTCAGTTGCATTTGGATTTCCCAGCAGGCTCTTCTTTGGACACCCAGTAAAGCCACGAGCTGGCAGATTCCTGTCTCAGCTGTAAATCACCATAATCCCTGGGCATTTCTAAACACCGATGATGGTCCCTCAATTCAATTAGCAGATTAAAAGACCTCTTCATTTTGGTCTTCCTAAATTGATTTTTAAACGGGGAAAAAAAAAAAAAGAAGAAGAAGAAAGTCCAACCAAGCTATCTTCTGAGGTGGGCTCCTTCTCTTCCCCTGCCCCTCTGGTGTCCTTCCAACTGCCTTATGAGCCTCTGGGTCAGTTTCCTCTTCCCTCTGACCCCCTCCCCTCCCCTCCCCTGCCCTCTCCCCCTCCTTGCCCTCCTTGCCCACTGTCTCTCACCTGGAGACAACAAACTCTCTCTGGCCCTCTCTCTCCACCTTCCCCATTCATTTTCTCCCCACGGCTCAGGGGGTGGTGTGTTTGTGTGTGGGTGTCTCATTTCTCTTCCTGAAGAGACTGGCTGGCTGTCATGGTGTCCCTGAGGCTAAGCCAGTCTTTCCTAGGATGATCGTCCCCCATACCCATGGTCTGATCTTTAGGGGTTCCCGGCTGACCCTGACCCCCTGCCCTCCTGCCTGTGCCTGGAACCTTGGCCAATGGCCTCCACATCCCACCTAGTCTGTTAGCCAGACCAGAGGCATCCTGAGGCAAACACCAGGCCAGACAGGAGAGGCCGGTGGCTGTATCTGTCCTTAGCAGGCACCTCTAAAGCAAGTGCCCCACACCCTGATGGGACTTCATGGTCCCAGCAGGCCAGCTTCAGGCCTCCAGGCTCCCCGTGGGCCTGACATGCAGGAGTTCACAGATTGCCCGCTGTCCCCGAGCACCCTGGCCCACGCCTGGGCTGCTCTCCCCAAGAATAACAGCTTCCTACCTCCAGGAAGAAGGACTTGCCAGCAACTAAATAAACACAAGTTTTATGGGGTGATTAATACGTGGAAAGATAAGCTCCTATCCCAGTTTTAAGGTCTCCCGGCTCCTCTTAGACATGTTGGCTCAGAAAGAGCAGCTGTGGGTCCTGGCAGCAGGCTGGTGAGCCAGACTCCACTTCAGAGACCATCCCCCTACCCCCTGCCCGAGCATCTCTCTGTGCCCACTAGGGCTGCAGGGTCTGGGGTTCAGGGAAGCATGGGAGCCCAGTCCCGTCTCTCTAAGGAGTGCTTTCCTTTGGGGACCGTTTTTTGTGCTTGTTGGGTTGGCCCCTTTCTTTTTTTGCATTTGGGGGGTTGTTGAGGCTTGATTTTGGGGTTGCTTTTGGGGGGCATCCAGGAGGACTTCTCAGAGATGGATTTCAGGTCAGGCACCAAGGGGGGTTAAAGAGCATGTATTGGTTGGGGAGGAGCCTTTGAGACCAGACAGGAGGGGATCTAGATGCCTATGCAGGCCCAGAGGTGAGAAGTCCCAGTGAGAAAGGGAGCCGTGGTGGGAAAATGGCTCAATGCTCAACTGCTAATGGAAAGATCCACAGTTCAAACCCACTAGCCGCTCCGTAGGAGAAAAGACCTGGCAATCGGCTCCCACCAATACGACAGCTTAGACAAAGCCCCATGGGTGGTTCTCCCCTGTCCCGGAATCAGGCTCGATGAGTCGGAATTCCTTGATGGCACCTAACTACAGTGACAACGCCACTTTGGGGAGGTGAAGGGAAGGAGGGGAGAGGATGAGTGGAAGGAGGTAGGTACCCTGTGAGGAGGGAGTGTGTGCACACAGCTAGGGGAAGGGGTTGGCGACCATGGGAGTAGACAGCTGCTGTGTGGTCAAGCTCTCCAGTAAGAGCGGTCATGGGTGACAGAAGTGTGAGGCCCAGAGAAGTGCTTAAATCATCTCGGCT